ATGTCAGAATTTCAGATTGTATGAGGTGAGCGCTGCAGTGCTGTCGTGACAGGTATGTATGTCAGAATTTTAGATTGTATGTGGTGAGCGCTGCCTTTCAAGCTTGATGCATACATCTTACGTTATGTCACACAAATTCTATTCAAGAAGGCCGAGTGGCAGCCATTTTAATGGTAAAAATGCATTTCTGTCATTTTGAATAGCTCTAACATGTCTTACTGAATGCAATCAAAGTACCGTACCCGACCACGTTAATGGCCTGTGACCTCAACTCAGCAAATCATGATTTTGAAGGGGTGGGCACTCTCTTCAGAAAATTTGCCATGTTGTTTTACTGCATGTTTTGATCGCACCAACATCCATTTACCTGATTGGTAGAGTCTGATATTAACCAATCTAAATGCTGTGTTATGTAATTATCGATGTTGAAGGTCGACTCGTTGAAAATGAGTTTGGCAAAAAACAGACAAACAGCAAAGTAGAATGTTGAAACAGTGAAACATTAAAAAAGACAATCCTGACAACAATATTTCATAACTGGCCAGACGAATTTTGGCATTTTAGAAGACGTGATGTTTTGGGGAATGTGACTCTATTTATAACAATTTTGCAAAAGTCTTGGGTTGACTCTTGACTGGACATACACCATATCACACATATCAACATAGATTTTATGTTTTTATGTTTTGATTCAAAATGGCTGACTCACTTCAGTTTTATTTGATACTGAACAATAGCTAGGGATCCCTGTAGATTAAAAAAAAAAAAAAGGAATTGGAGTTATACACAGAAAATATTTGTATGCACCAGTTATGTTCCATAGACCAACGTCAACCTGACTATACGTATTATATGAGTTAAACTTGACAATGATCCACCATTCACTGGGGGAGAAAAAAGTAATCAAATTTGCTAGTCATGAAATCCCACCTTACTCAGTAGGAATAAGAATTATTACCATAATATAATTAAATTTTTTTTTTTGCAGTCTGTATCAGAAAAATAACGAAATGCATAAAGTTTATACTTACATTTGCATGAGGCCTATGTCAGTGATGTAGCATTAGCACGCTTACTCAATAAAATCCATTACGCAAATGTTATGTCATCAGTGTTGATACTAATTTCAGAAGTGATTGTATATTTGAAGAAGTTTAAGCGTGTTTTGTTAAAGAATTCATACTTTAGTATATCCTCGAGCAAAAAAATAAAAATCTTCACATGAACAATGTAAACTATATATTTTTTTTTTTTTTAAATTTGGGTGAAAAAATATCTACCGGTAGGCGAAGGAAGAATTAGTTACACTGTGAAGATTTTTTTTTTTGCTTTACATATTGATTCCTATATTTTCATCACTTAATGGTTTGAATACAAACAGTGAAAAAATGCAGCTTGCATTGGCATGTTTTCAATGGTTTAATGATATAAATGGACATACGTGTCTTTGCGTCTTCCAGGTTCAGGGCACCAGAAACAAAAAATGCCTATAATGACGCATGATGCAGATAGCGTTTTTAAGAAAAAAAAACGAGCACATTTTTAACTGAGAATATAGTCTTTACTCATCAAACAGTTTGTTTGATGCAATCGATGCTCCAATCTAGCCAGATGGTGTTTTTATGCCTCATCTTATGTCATAAATCCTATCGAAAAACATGATTTCTATATAATAATAGGCTTTTGTATCGGCATTTAGTGCTATGACATATAAACACAATGGGACTCAGATGAATCAGCTCTATTTTACACGCAGTATTTTGACGAGTATTTGAAATCAGGGTTTTTCTTTTTATCACGCTTGTATGTGCACTTAGACTGCTGTTGGGAAAAGAGGACAATTAAAGCTCAGAAATGCATGTTTGTTATTACTCAATATTTATTTGCGATAAAGGATGAAATTGTAAACATGCGAGTAAAATAGTTTTGGTTGTATAAACCTGTAGAGAAGTTGATTCTTACTGTCATGCTTGTTGTGTTTTAATGAAAATTGATCAAGATCTCTGACCATTGTCAGTTAATCATGGTTAACTCATTATGTAATTAATAATACAATTTGTTTCAATATTCCAAATTATTCTGAACTTTTAATCGTCTGTAACTGGTTAAAAATGTTAAATTGTCTGTTTTGTATTGTAGTGGATTTCCTATCCCACATGACTCATCATATAAACTCCACGTTTGCGAGTGGAAAACAAATTGAATCTTCTTCGCTCCAGACACAGCGTGTTTTTTTTTTTCTTTTGTCAAAAAGAATTGCTTTTAATCGTTTTTCAGCAAGTGTGCTTTACTGTGTTTAAACTGAAATAGCATAGTTTCAATTACAGATGATTTAACGGGCACACCAGACACAGTGAGCCGATTTAAATCGATGTGTTGTATTTTAAATTAAGGGATTCCACTTAGCGAGCCAGGGGTTTATCTTTGGATCTGGAATTACATTAAATCGCACACATGTTGTACAAGCGTTTTCAATATCAAGCGTTATCACCTCTGTTGTTTGATGAAGAACCAACAAGTCTATTACAATACTATTAGGAGGCAATACTTTTGCCAGAACCCCAGGGAATGACAATCACATTATTTTTTCATTCAAGTTGTCTTTGTCGCCGCAACATCTCTCGCTAACTACTTTTATGCAAATATTAAACATTGTTTTGTTTTTCATTCGGTCGAAGAATTGGGTACCTCGGCTGGCTTTCTCTGATTTGAAATTGTATGGATGATATTATTACTCGATATTGTGATTAGCTGTAAACAGCGTGGCTTGTTGTATGAATTCATGAATTTTCAATTGTCCCACTATACACTAGGAGAACTAAACAAAAAGATGTTTAAATTAGTGTGTGCGAGTGACTCAGAGTCTCGGTCACACTCAATAATTTGAATCATATACTTGTCATCATCAATGCCTCCTTTCTCCATCAACAACAAAATATTGAACTCATGAATTATTGGTTTTAAATGACCTTGGAGATACCTGGTCTATATCACTGGAGGGTAAAAGCTTATGATAAAAGAAAAAAACATTTTAACATATTTTCAATGTTAATATTATCATGAGAAATTGCAAAACAGTATATTTTTAAGTACACTCCTGATGATTTGCTTCGCATAAAAAAAAATTGTATCAAAAAAATGTATTCCACATAGTATTTTGTCGAAAACTATCTCATCTTTTCAGATCATCAGAGGTTAAATTGTACAGCTTCTTCGTATTGATATTATTTTGACCTACATAAAGGAATATTAATATCTATTCTGTTGGGGAAAGCCAAGCTTTAATAGAAATGAACTAAACATGTCTTTGGTGTAGCCAAGACTGGTGGGAATAGTCAATGAACACTCAGGTTGGACAGTTTTTTTTTCATTTATATTGTATTTGAGAGCCT